TGGAGAAGAAAAATGCTCAATGCGTTGTTGTTTATTGGCCACTGCATGTATCTTTGTTGGGTATTGATGAGCTGCAAAGAAGGCATTGATATGTATAATCGCAATTATGAAAATGTAAATATCCAGAGGCAGCAACGACAGGTAGTAGTTACAAGGCGGGTTGGGGTTGGAGTGGGCTTGGATTTTGGGCTCTTGGATTAATGGGTATTAAAGGGTAACCCGCGGGTACTCAAATTAGCGATTCCTAATCCCAAGTCCCATCCCGTAAAAAAATTACGGGTATTTGGGTACCCGTAACCCTTAAAAAACAGGACAAGTACGGGTATACCCAAATACCCGTTTCCCGTTGCCCACCCCTAGACCTCTCCATCTTCCGGCTCGAACTGGTACTCACCATTCTCCAGTAAAAAAATCGTACGTTTGTTAGGACATTGATCTGCCACATGTCCTCGACCTTGGCACCTGTAACACACAAGAGAGCTCGAACGTATGTTAGTTGTTGCCTTCTCTCCGGTATTGGTGGCCATCAACTTGGGCATTGGCTTAGGGTCCTCCTTCTTCACAAATGGGGCTCGTGTTGAACTTGAGGGAGCACACGCGCATGGTGAAACCCTCCTTGCATAGCCTCCCTTTTGCTGCTTCTCAACCTTAGTAGCCATCTACACCAAATCATCAATCTCCACATAATGGTGAATCTCCACGACCTGTCTAATCTCCCAATTGAGGTAATAGAAATCGAGCCATTGTTGCTTCTCTATCTTCATTGACATGAGCTCGAATCATCAATGTCTCCATCTCCTTGAAATAATCCTCTACGCTCTTCGCACCCTGTCTCAACAAGTGAAGAACTTGATGCAGATCTCGTTGATGATGAACGGGCACAAATCTCCTCCTTATGGTTGCCTTCATTTGATGTCATGTCGTGATGGGCTCTTCTCCCTGCAACCTCCGTTCAGCACCCAGCTGGTCCCACCAAACAACGGTATAGTCAGAAAACTCAAGAGCAGCAATAATTACCTTCTTCCATTCGGAGTAGTCGTGGCACTCAAACAAGTACTCCATCTTTCTCTCCCATTCGAGGTAAGCTTCAGGATCACTTCTCCCTTGAAATGATGGCACCTTCACCTTCAATCCCCTTATATCAGCATCCCTATGGTGGGGATACTCTTCCCCATCGTAGTACTCCTCATAGTCATGTGGTTCAGGAGCTCAACTAGCGTGAACTGGGGGTCTTCCTCTTCGACCTCTACCTCCTCAACCTTGTAGAGATCTGAGATTTTTGGGACCCAGAGGTCGACCTCGCCTTCCACCCGATGGTGGTGGTGGAAAATCGTCCTCCTCCTCCTCCTATGGGTGGAGGTTGATAGCTTGGGCCATTTCATCGAGGCGAGCGTTAATCTGATCCTGTTGGCCTTGAATCATCAGGGTAAGGCGTCCCATAAAAGCATCCATGGTAGCTTGTGGAATGCCCTCCAAGTTCTAAACTTCCTAATTGTTGCGAATTTCTCATTCTCCTGCCATTTAGTTCAGATACTCGAACACAAGAAGTTATCCGTCAATGCTTAAAGTTTCAGATTAATAGTACAAAGTACAAACAAAGGACCTCACAAGTCACTCCCTCATGTGTTTCACTCGTTTGCAGGTCACTCTTTTTCTTATTACTCGTGTTTCACTAAAATGGCTTTTACCCGATATTGAACTCACGAAGCCTCTTTCCACTCGCTCTCAAAAACCCTAGATGAGCTTCATAGTCTGCAAGTAGAACAAGCAATAAAACAGTAGTTCGAGCCGCAAGAAATCTCAAGAAACCAACTAACACAATCAAGAATCGACCAAGAATGCACAAAACTTGATCAAGACACAAACTTGCGTGATCCGACCTCTGTTCTTGTCTTTTCTGAGTTATTTTTCTTGATATTTTTATGCTCGTTTTTTTCCTTCTTTCTGTATTTTAAAGAACGACTTTTCCAACAAATGCACGTTACATTCAAGAACGAAAATAAACAAACAAGAAACGAAAATAACCTTTCTTGGCGACTTTTAAGAACACAAAAACATGTTTGGTTGATTTTCGCACAAGATAGGAGGATAAGTATGCCACTGTGTTTGAACCGGAGCTCTGATACCACCTGATATAAGCCGAGGCTCTAACTCTTGGACTTAAACAATCATAATACACATCAAAGATCGATTAGCAAAACAAAGAGCAAAGGGGCGGGAAATAACTCAAACCAAAGCCACAATTGGGTAGAGGGCCAACTATACGAAGTGACTCCACAACTAGGGTGATTGACTAGTTGATAACGTTGATTTTCTTCTAGACGGCTCGATTCCACGAACGGGCTAAGAAGGATAAAAGAGTTTCAAGAATGAACTCTCAAATAAGGGTTTTTCATTGATAAAACGTTGTTTTGCCCGTAGGCATAACACAATCTATTTATAGAGGTTTACAAAATTAAGAAGGAAACAAATAGTAGTTAAAGAAGGAAACAAATATCCAAAAGATTCTAACATATTGTTTTAATGCTAATGAAAGATTCTTAGCCACTAGTTATTCTCTTTCCATGTTTGGCCAACTTGGACATCAAGAATGTCCTTCTTTCTCCCCTTGCCTTCGCCTTTCCATGTGTGGCCAACTTGGGCATCAAGAATGCCTTTTTTTTCTCGTCTTGGACGTGGATTACATTGACCTCCTAGCCTATGAACGAATTCGACTCCAAAGATTAAAAATGCTCTGCCAAATAAGCTTGAAGTCGACCTTTGAATGCCTTCACTTGACTTCTAGTGATTGGACCACGTTCCTTTTGCACCAAAGTTGGACTTGTGATTGCCTTGGTTTTGATGCCTCATCAGATGCAACGGTGACCTTTCATCAACTCGGCCTTGGTGCAATAGAGGATTCCATCACTGGTCCTCTCTTACGAGATTATTTGCTTATTCTTGAGTCTATGTCTCTTTGTATAGAGTTTAGGGTGGTTCCGTGAACTGTCAATTGGGTTGTCCATCGAGTAGCACATAAAGCCATGTTGTCATGTCGATTAGAGTTGGTTTCTTTTGAAGTGGCCCATTCTGCTAGCTGCCGAAACAGACAGAATAACGTTTAGTCTTCCTGTTTTTTCAGATCCCATTTATTAATTACTAGCGTGGGCCCCGGCCAGTTGGCCGGAGGAAGGTGAGGTATGAAATTTGATAATGTAATGGGGTGTTGATAAACCGTTAATTGCACATGTTTTTACCCCTATTCTTGAGCCGTTTGAGATGTTGATCCTCGTGTTTTAGGCCGATTTCACGCTAGGTTGTGCTTGTTTGTGATATTTCAGGTCCTAGTACGTGAATGAAGGTTTGGGAGCAAGTTCGGGGTCGATTGGACGAAGATCGAACGTATGGCGAGTCGCTGAGGAAGTCACACGGGCACACATAAAACCCACACGGCCGTGTGAGGAACCAATGTGGCCGTGTGGGATTATGCGAGCCTTCACACGGGCAGACAGGAGGCTCCACACGGTCGTGTGTCCCTGGCCGTGTAGGTAGCCTGAAGTGCAATAATTTGAAACGCCGCGTTTTGTCTCTCACACGGGCATCTGGGTAAGCCACACGGCCGTGTGGCCTGCCCGTGTGAGTCGGGAATTCTGGTTTTTACCCAAATTCGAGCCACAAGTGAGAAAATCGACTTTTTAGAGCAAAAACAGAGTTTTAGAGAGAGAAAGGACGAAGAACAAACCCTAGGAGCTATTTGGAGTGGATTTCTCACCATTGAAACCCAGATTGCATCCCCAGGAGTGAAGATTGACATCCCAGAGCAGATGTTCCTCATCTTTATGAGTATGACTACTCTGATTTCTGTTTTCCTCTCTCTCTCTATGGAGTAGAACCCTTCTCTCACTTGGGTATGAAGAACCCTAGTTCCATGTGTTAGGGATTTGATTGTAATGACTTGGGATGATTATACTGTTTGGTTTTAATTGAATGATGCATGATTCATTGAATTGATTGAAGTCTGATCAGCTTTTCTTGATTTCTGCTGCAACCTGAGATAGACAAAATCTGATTAGGTTGTTAGAGCTTCTTCATTCGGTAGTTGGAGATTGGCTATACGAGAGTTGGCCAGTTTACTGCTTTGTACTGGAATCCAATTCCAGTAGTAGAGTTCTCTGCTTATTGCTTCAGCTTTCTATCCCGGTGAAGACTAGTCGTCTGCCGGGTAGTTAGACTAAGAGGGCTTGGTCAGCTTAAGAGATTCCAAGCTACTGTCGGATCTTCCGCAATCTAATCAACAGTAAATCAACCCAGGGTAATTACAATTGAGACCTAACTAAGGAGCTAAGGGGACTCATTCCCGAGTGACTCTTCCTTTGCTTGAGAAAACCGAACCAATTCCTGCTTTCTTTCTGCTTTTAGTTAAAACAACAATCAATCGACTTAGTTGGCTAGATAATAGATAATCACGGAGTAGGCAGTAGATCTAGACCTCGGGTTGATATTTAGAACTTGCCACTTTACTGCAGTCCCATTCTGCGATTACACTTGGTCGCAGTTTGGTGTTGTGTTTTGGCGTGTCAGGTGTATATCTTATTGTTGTATAGTTTTTTTTTTTTTGGGAAACTCGTGATAAAAATAGTGAATTTTAGTAGGAAAGAGACATGAATGATATAATGAATAGGGTTAATACCCTAGTTTGGCCCAAAGTTTAGCGTAAGTGTCAGTTTTGGCCCGATTTTTTTAATAAGACATTTATGGCCTACTTTTGAAATTATTGGACAAATTTGGCATGGAATTTAAGTTGACCGTTAAAATTGACGGTCAAACATATGCACCGTTAGTGACTCAGCAAAAACGGTTGATGTGGCTGATGCCTAGTTGCCACGTAATTACATATTTATATTTTTAATTAATTAATTCAGCCCATAAATAAAATAAAATAAAAATCTGAAAAAATAGATTAAATCCCCACTCCCTCCCCGACCACTCCCTTTCTCTATCTATTTATCTATGTCTGCTCCATGTCTAGCCGTCGCCGCCGCTGTAGCCGTCACCGTCGCCGTAGCTCGCCGTGCTGCCCATGTGCCAACAAGTCTTCTCTTCCTCACCTCCATGGGAAGCACCGGTTCAAGGACAACAACGAGGATGAGTTGTTCGACGTCTTTCTCCTCTTCAATATTTCTCGCAACTTCCTTTTGCTCTCCATCCGCGCCTGGGACAACGACGGCGAGTTCCTCCTCATCGAGGCAGCGACAAACTCCAGATCGTCCCCAAGAAACACTTCCCCTACCCTAGCTTACCTGAATCGTTGAAGTTTCTGGTGAATTTCGAAATCGAGTCTCGAGCTTCGGAGCCAATTCAGAAGGCGGTGAAGGTTCGAATTCCGGCGGCGAGACGAAACACCCACTATGTTAGGGAAGAAGAAGAATAGGACGGCGACGAGCTAGCTTGGACAGCTCGACATGTCCTGGGTGGCGTCGATTTGGCAGGGGAGAAGAGCACGGCGGCGGCGCTGGGTTTTGCTTTGGGCGGCGATTAGGGCGAAAGAGGGGAAGGGACTGGCGGGATTGATTATTTAGGGTTCAGGGGTAAAATCGTCTAGGGGAAAGAGGGTATTTTTTTATTTTAATTGAATTAAAAAATGATTTAATGACGTGGCAGGCCACATCATCGATTTTTAACCGAGTCACTAACGGAATTGTGTTTGACCGTCAATATTAACGGTCAAAGAAAATTACGAGCCAAATTTGTCCAATAATTTGAAAAGTGGGCCATAAATGTCTTATTAAAAAAATCGGGCCAAAGCTGACACTTACGCTAAACTTCGGGCCAAACTAGGGTATTAACCCTAATGAATAAAAAATCGACCTTATGAACCAAAATCAAGTACATGTTACCTTGTGGAACAATATTGTTTCTGGTAATATGATGAGGTGGAGTAAGTTTTATAGAAACCGAATTCCAGAAAATCGAATAAAAAATCGCCTATCCCATCGATTCGGGAAATGGGCATCTCACAATCTTTGCTAGCTTTTACTCGGCCCGTTGGTTGATTAATTTTCTTTATAAAACTTTCATCTTGTCGTCATTGTGCTTTCTGGTTTTTGTTAGGCCATGATAAAATCTAAGGAAATCAAGAACGAACAACACGATTTGGGATAGGGACCGCCATTGTCGTATCCCTAGAAAATGGTCGTAAACACAGACTCACCTGTCAAACTAGTTTGGATTGAGATTTTTATCTGGTATCAGGGAACCATGTGATTATAAATTAGACTTGATGAAAATGGGCCAAAACTTGAAATTCAGCATTTTTGACCGACCCATGCCAAATTCTAATTATTATTTACATTTAAACTTTCTATTTGAAAATAAAAATAGTGAAAGAAAAGAGATGACTGCAATTCGCCATTTGCACATCACTTATTCGGGAATAAAACCATAAAAATTCAAAAGGAACTGAAAATGTTTAGGATCGTTTTAATGTTTAAAATAACCAAATAGATCGTTATGTTTAGTTTTTTACTAACAAATATCAAACGATTCCCTATAAAATACACTATAATTTGATCAGTATGATATCAAATAATTATATAATTATATTTAAAATGATAAAAATTGGACTAATTGGGTTGGTCGAGGTTGAACCATTGAATAACTTTAAAATACATTATTATTTAGCCACTAAGATATAAAATAATAGCATAATATATATTATGCCAGAGAAAATAGCTTGTTTTAGAATGGCAAACCAATGATGTTCATTTGTTTTACTTGATGGCCAAATCCCGTGTAGGTCAGGCCCATTCAACTCTTTTATTTTATGGTTAGCGGTTAGCCCATTAGATACCATGCATTAGTTTATTGTTAAATTTTTTATTTTTAGCAATAAAAAGGAGTATTTTTTTGCTTTTTCTTATATATTTTATCACCACGGAGAAATAAAAGGGCTTAAAGAAAAAAATTGACACTCCTGGACCCGTTTAAATCTGCATGTGTACGGTAAGTTGGCCCATTCCACAAAGGAAAGAGAAAAAAATTTACACTCCCTATTCTACCCTTCCTACAAACGCTCATGGAGCAGGGAATTTGAAATGGAGGAAGGGTTTATTCCTCCCTGCTATTATATATTTTTTATTTAAAAAGATACATCAAATGTACTTAATGTGATTGGTTATAATCCTTGCTTTTCTTTAAAATGGACATGGTTCGAATCCTAGTAAGTGTCTTTTTAATGAATAAAAAAAAGTAATTGTGAAGACCAAAATGTCCTTCCTACTTTCACTCTCGTTGCAGGAAATTTGAAATGGGGCTCCCGTTTTTTCCTTCGGTGTATTATATTACTAGCTTATAACCCGGCCCATTGGCCGGAATGTTCATATTTGATTATTTATATTTTTATGTTACATTTAAGCCAATCAACCGGTTTAATTTTATTGACAATCCTTCGATCGAGATGATACATAAAGAAAGAATATATAGGTCTAACATTCGGAGAAATACTATCATCATTTAAGAATATAAAATATAAATGTATCACTAATTCCATTTTCATAATGTTAATTAAGCCCTCGTTAAAATGTTATTGGTTAGTTGGTTTTGAAGAAAGAGGGTATAAGATCAGTGAAATTCCACACGACCCATAAATAGTTTGAAACTAAATCTTAAATCTCACAATCCTACATAAGGGTTTAATGCGCTCCTTCTATGAACAATATGTCACTAATAAAAAAGAAATAGAGAGTTGTTGATTCAAGTCAACTATATACTAACAACTAAGCTAAGAGGGGACCATCAAAACTTGAGAGCAAACGACAAAATTAGGGTTATCTCCAACACACTAACAAACTCAATCAAAGTAATAAGGCACAAAATTAGACACTCCTTGTCTATCAGTTCCAGTAGGTAGAATAAAGAATCGACCTACTTCAATAAATCAATCAATGATTCCTCGTTTTAAGATAAAAATATGTTGTGATAGATGTAAAAACCATAAACATAAGATCCAATAGCCACCACTCTTCCTTGTACAGCCAAAATTTTTTATTATCTCAAGAGACATACTTTCAACCCAAAATTCAATTTCTAATCCTCCTTCTGCAACTCCATTATTTATTAAACTCTTTTACTTTTCCAACTTAAATCCGCAACAATAAAACTGACGTGCCAAGAGATATCGGATGATTGATTTTCAAAGGCGGCCTTGTATTGGGAAGTGAAAGGGGCGCAAACTATTGTACGTTGGAGGGAATTTCCGAGGAAGTTAGAAAGAGATAAGAACAAAGATAAAACCACAAATTTAAATTGAAAAATGCAAGGACGCAACACATAGTGATTAAATTAGTTTTTTCCATGTTAGCCAATTGCCAATTTACCTTTAGCAAAAATTAAGGAGAGAGAAAGAATTTTAAAATTGAGAAAATTACATGAAACTCTACTATGAAAATTGAAGTATCAAGCACCATAAAAATACATACGGTATAATTAGTGGGCTTGCTAATCATGATGGAAAGTTCTGTGCTTTTCAGAAAGTTGAACTTCGTGTATATTTTGTATTCAAAAAGACACAACAAATTTGTTCAGCATAAATGGTTGTGATTGTTGTCTTTGTTTGAAGAGACCCGAGTTCAAATCTTGATGTTGATATTTTTTATGTGAGATAAATAATTAATTGTAAAGACAAAAAATGTCCTTCCTACTTTCACTCTCGTTGTAGGAAATTTGAAATGAAAAAAAGTACACAAAAGTGTACTATTGGGGGGTGTGTAGATAAGCATAATTGAATTGTAATTGTTAAGATTTTAGGGGAGAAGGAATACTAATCTAAAGAACACATTATCTTCTCTTGGTATCCCTACCCGGCAGACTCCTCTGACAACTTCGCCGTCTCCGAGCTCTACTAAAACCTCCATAGAAATCCCTCCCCACTTCCCCAACATTTATTCTGTAAAACAGAGCCGACGGAAGTCATCTTCGCCGTCCCTCTCCCTCCATCGAATAGTGTTGTCGCCAAATTACCAGACCATCTCAGAAGAAGAGAGTCGTACTCCCTCTGTGTCGTGGTGTGGCGTCTCGGTTGAACTCGTCAAAACCAGGAGGCGTGGAGTGACTTTCCCCACCACATCAAAATTCTACCAGGTAATTCGCGTATTGTGTGTTTGAGGGAGTAGGACGACGATTCGGTCGTTTTAGTTTCCTTTTGCATCTGAATGTTGTGAGCCAGGATGCTACAAGGGGAGGCTCGGTTTTGTTTTTTGGATTCATTAACTATTTGGCCGTGTGTTCATGCTGTTTGTGGCATGAAATCGTGGTTTGGTGTTGTGAGGTGTTGTAGAGTGCTTAAGATGCAAGCGGAACGGTCAGTGTGTGGAAGTTGTTGGCAAAAGGCAGCAATAATATAATGGTGTCAAAGCCCTTTTGATTTATATGAAATGTATAGAGAGAGATGTATCTGCAATAGGAGTTTTGTTATGTCAAGCAGGATTCCAATTTATTGTCGGAACTAAGAATAGGCTAACGCACTGAATTTTTCCCAACGTATCTGTGTAGCCATACAGAAGCAATGACAACAATCATATATGGGTATTATAAATATAGAACAATGATTATGTCATAAATCATGAAGAATGGTTTGAAATGGATTTCTTTTGGTCCAGTCTATGAATTTTGTTGTGCATCATTGCTTTATTGTAGGAAATTATCATGTGGAGGGAAGTAAAAAATGGCGTTGGATAGTAATTTTAGTTCCTCATCTTAGTGGGTTTACTGGAGATACTGTTGACGAAGATGTAAGGCCGCGACAACAGTAACAACTCATCCATCCCCCCCCCCCCCCTAAATATAAAATCATGTATTGAACATCAACATTCCCTTCTAATTACGAATTCAAAGAATGATTACACATAACCTACTGATCATGTGAGGCCTTGAATCACAAACACGGGATAATTACACATAACCTACTAATCTACACTGCTGTGTAGCTCATTCCCTCACCATTTGCTTACTCCATCATCACTTCGTAGGACTACTAAGCCAATTAGCTATTTTGGTATCTTCTTTTCTGACATGGGGGCACTTAATAGTTCCTATGTAGCCTCCAAATTTGCAGCATAGACTGCACTTGCACACAACAGCCTCAAATTGGAAGCATGGAAGGGGAGTTCACTCATACGTCCGAAAACTGCAGCAAATAACTACTTCTAACAAAGAAGTAGAAAGGAGGTTTGAAACCCTAGAAGGCTTGGATTGTTTCTCATTGAGATGATGCTTAAATAGTCTGTTTACATCACAATAGGACAACATAGAACAA